TCTGGCATCCCAAGCGAGTTCTTAACCATCGCGCCACTCGGCCGGCCCTAACTTGCATTTTAATTCAATCCTCAAAATATTCTTGTAGGTATTGTTGTCCACAGTTTAGCATGAAGGCAAATATTTATTTATTTATTTATTTTTTACTAAGCTCATGTAGCCAGCAAGGTGGAAGGATAAATATGTAATTTTTTTTTTTTTTTTTGCTGTATGTATTGCCTCCCTACAAAGCGATGCCTGTTCCTCTTTGGATGAACTACGATTCATATGGCAAATGATGTGCCAACATAAAATAAAGCAACTTTCTATTAATTTCATTATGGGGATTTAGCTCAATCCCTTCATACTCTTTGGCTAAGTACAAAGTGCTTGGAACGCCACGTATAAATCAGCTTTCCAAAAGCAGCAGCTGTCCACGTCCACAAATGCCATGCACATACCCCTGATATGCTATTACCAGGATGGTTTTTAACTCTTCTCATATGAAGTTGTTGTTTTCCTCACCCTTTTGACTTATTAGAAAATTAATTAATTTTTTTTATGGAAAATTTGAAAATTATGAAAGTGTAAGGGAAAAAAAATCATCCATAGTTCAACGACCCATAAGCAACAACTGTGGGCTTATTTTTGCCTAAGTTTGTTTTTCCTTCATATTGTATTTTCACAAAAATAAGATTATATTCTCTATACTATCTTGTACTAGATTCTTTCTATTTATTATTATACCTCACAATTTTATGTTATTGTGACAACTTTGTGAACCTTAGTTTCTATGTCATAATTCTAGCGTATAAAATATGCCGTAATTTTATTAGTATTTTTCTCACTGTTGGACATTTCAATTGGATGATTAATAAATCTATTTCAGCTTCTTCCTATGAAGACATAAAATACTTTTATTTATTTTTTCAATTGCAATGTATTTTTGCAATGGTAAATTATGTTGAGACACACCTAGATTTTTCACTGTTTACATGTCCAGATCTGAACTCATCAGCTTATTCAGGAAAAGCAAAACAAAAACAAAACAACAACAAAAAATCATTGCTTCTCCTACATCTCCTCCCTTGCAAGGTTAATGGTTCTCTATTTTCCAGGTTGGCCTGGATCAGAAATGTCCAGTCAGCCTGACTCCCTGCTCCTTGAGAATTCATATCTAATCATTCTATGAGGCTACTCAGCTCTCCCTGCAGAGTGGAGTGACATTGCCTTAGCAGCTCCCTCATCCCATTTTCAGAGTCAACATCAAAAGTCAGGCTCCTTTATCTCATGTTTTCCTTATGTGAAAGCCAGGGTCATGACTCAAATAACTCCTTATTTGTAAATGGTAAGTTCCTGATGAATATTGGGTACATAAATGCTGAATGAATAAATAAATCATCACTCTTACCTTTTAGTGATTTTAAACCTGAATCCCACCCCATTCCTCCACTGAGGCCTTGTTGAATACAAGAATCATGAATTAATAATAAAAATAGCAACCAATTAATAAGGCCTCCTATGTGCCAGGCACTTTCTGAAGTGTTGTGAACAGTTTTTCTTTAATGTTTAACTGCACCAAACATAAAGATCAGCCTTTAATTTCATAGATGAGGATAGAGCAAGATAGTGTGACTTGCCTGGGATTCCACAGCCTAATGTGGGGGCTGGATTTTTAAGCCGGGTTATTTGCTTAGGTACAGCTTCTGTCTCAGGGCCTAACACCAGTACATGCCTGTTAGATTAAATCATGAAGTTTGGGGCCCCAACCATGTTGCGGTTATCTGCTTGTTCCCATTGGGGAACCAAGGAATGCTTACCAACAGTGAAGTTTGGGAAGCCAAGAGGTTCAAGAAAAAGAGAAACATTTTTTTCTAAATTTCTATAAAAAGGAACCCTTATAAACTGGTTGTGAGAGTGTAAATTGGTATAGCTACTATGGAAAACAGTATGGAGGTTCCTCAAAAAATTAAGAATAGAATTACCATATGACTCAGCAGTCCCTCTCCTGGGCTATCTACCAAAAAAATCTGAAAACATTTATCTGTAAAGATATATGTACTCTGATGTTCACTTGCAGTATTATTTACAGTGGTCAAGACATGGAAACAACCAAAGTGTCCTTCGATAGATGATTGGATAAAGAAGATGTGGTACATATATACACAATGGAATACTACTCTGCCATAAGAAAAGATGAAGTATGCCATTTGTGACAACATGGATGGACCTTGAGATTATTATGCTCAGTGAAATAAGTCAGACAGAAAAAGTCGAGAACCATATGACTTCACTCATATGTGGTATAGAAAACTGAAAGTAACAAAGGAACAAGACAAACAAATAAAGAAACAAAAACTCACAGACACAGACAATAGTTTAGTGTTACCAGAGGGTAAGGGGGGAGGGGAGTGGTAGAAGAGGGTAAAGGGGGTCAAATATATGGTGATGGAAGGAGAACTGACTCTGGGTGGTGAACACACAGTGTGATATCTAGATGATGTATTACAGAATTGTACACCTGAAACCTATGTAATTTTACTAACTGTTGTCAGCCCAATACATTTTAATAGGAAAAAAATATTTGCCAGTAGCGTTATCGTCATGGGTTTATCCTCTGGCATTATCCTGAAAGGCCCTCCTTCTGGTCAGGATGTTCGCTTGGGTCACAGCAGAGAGCACACTCGCCAAGCTCTGAGAAGGGGCTGAGAAGGGCAGCCCCGTAGTTGAGAGTTACAGGCATTAATTTCAAGACACGTACCCTTCAAATCCCATCGATGCTACTTACTGGCTTTATGACATTGAGCAAGTCATTTAATCTCTCTAAGTTTTAGTTTCCTCATATTAAAATACTAAAATAATAGTATGTGTACTTACCTAATGGATTTTGTTTTGAGAAGAATTAAAAAAATAACTGAAAGTCACCTACCATGTATATCACATGTTGCCTATTATTATTTTTATTATGACCACCCCAATGACTTCGTGCTTATGCAGCAGTTACCTCTAATGGTGCAAGCTGTCAGCCACTCAAGGGGGCACACTGGATATTCATGACGTAATGAAGTAGATAATGACACAGGGAGAGATTGTGAGCAGAAGGAATAGATGTGGAGGGACATGGGGCTAAAATGCAGCAGTGGGGAATTGCAAGAAATTCGTTATTTTTCAACTCAATGTCCTGAACATATGGCATTAAATGGTTTTGGATTAACAGTGAACTTTTGGATAAAGGGAGACCGCTATATACATTGCAGATATATGTATTCACACACCGAACAACTTAAACTTCACCACTCCCAATACAATAAGTAACCAATCATGGTACCTCTCTTGCTTTTAAAAATATGTTTTAGAAGACATTAATTACCTTTGGTTGCTTATAATTAGTCCAGCAAAGAAAGACTAGAGATTCTTGATGGTAAATTATGATGCCTGCTTCCTACTGAGCTTATAGGGCAGTCTATATCTATGAAAAACTCCTCTTAGTATACAATTCAGGATAAAATGTTCCTAAAATCATGTTTTCACATAGATGGCTGAGCTAGCAAGAAAAAAAGAGACATCCTCCAAGTTCAGAGATTAGGAGAAACTCAAAACCAGGAAGGTTAGCCATCATTAGGGCTGGTATTTACCCTGGCAGTGTTACCGATCCCTGGTGGGCCAGTGCCTGGGTTTCAATGGCCACACACGTGCACGAGGACAGGAGAACAAAGCCTGAGCCTGAGCACAAATAAGACCCCAGAAGCTAATACTCTTAAGGGTTGAACTAGTAAGAGAACCCACACTCACACAGAGAAGCTTAAGAATAATCACCTGGCACCTTCTCTGCTCAGTGGAAAGAAAACATCCCTGTGTATTTCATAAACCACATGCTAAGACTCACAAGAACTTGGGACCAGTCCGTCTGCACAAAATTCACACCAGCTGTGTGGTCTGCAAAGGCCTGAAAAGGCTTCAAGTGGCTTCCAAGCCAAGCTTCTGTGTCAGAAGAAGAGATAGATGAGTGAGGAACACGACACTGTATCTGGCTAACCCCTGAGGTGACAAACATCTCTTCTGTTTATTGTCTACTGGCCTCAAGTAGTCACTTGGCCCCAAAATACCTACCAGGGAGGCTTGGAAATGTGGTTGTGAGAGCCAGAATGTTTGGCAAATCCGATTGTCACATGATCTAAAATCCTTGTTATAGAAATAGTGGCTATTGGTTAATTTGGGACAGTCTCAAATTAAATTTTAAAGTTCAAATTTGCAGGATAACCACAAAAAGAAGGGAAATAGTATGTGACTTCCAAGTTAGTGGAGGGTAGAGATAGGATGAAGGGAAACTTTTTGAACCTCAGTCAATTCAAAAGAAGGGAAGAAAAGAAAGTGAAAACAAGATCCTGGGTTAAAGTGAGACAAGGAGAAATCCTGAAACAAGGTGGTAGAAACAAGATCAAACATATAATGAATTAGATAAATGTAAATGGGCTATAGTGTCTAGTTGAAAGGCACAGACACTGGTAAATTCCGGCAACATTCAGTGGACAGCAAATTCCAAATGCTTCTGTAGAACTGAAAATCAGAGAATTCTCCCCACTTCATTTAATGAGACTATTGTATCTTTGATGCTTGTACTCATTTTCTATTGCTACATAA